TTTTTCCATATGTTGCTGGTATCTTTAAGCGGTTAGACGAAAAGCCAAAGACTGACTGGAATCGGGCCAAAGAGGCCTCGGGCCACATGCTCTCATAGAGACAAACTTAAGTTGTTTCACTTGGGGTTGGTTTTGCTTATCAAAAGGTCCATTCATAAGCTTTCATCGCTAGACACAGTTGATAACAAAACCGCAAATAAAACGTGCCAAATTCGCATTTCCTTTTCACCTTTGCAGGAATGATTCAAAACGAACGGAGCGATCTGAACAGGCCGCAAATAGAACGGCTCAGTAATTCTATTATCAAGATTTACCAGCGGCAGATTTTGCACTAAAATCCCTCATATTTAACATGTTTCCTCGAATGACATTATTTATGCGTTCTGAGGAGAGCAGGTAAGGAAGTCTCAGTTTTTTATGCTTTCGTTCTTCTCTGCCTCTCAACTTGGTTCTTTGCCCTTTCAAGTTTAATCAGTGGCTGTGGTTCATCCCATTATTCAGCAGCTATTTTTTCCCTACTGTTTTTCATTTCTTTATGTGGTATTTTCGGTACATTTTTTCGCCTTTTATGGCTCTCCAGTCTCTTTTCAAAATTAGGTTGCATCAAAAAATCAAAAACAGAGATCCACAAATGTAAAAACTATACATAGAGAAAGCGAGTTATTTTCAAAGCTTATTTGTTAGCGGGAAAAAAAGGGAAAAATCGAGGCAAACCGCATGCTACTGATATCAAGAATGGGCTAAACTTTGGGAATTTATCATCCCAAGAAATAAATCAGTGTGTCAAATTTGTAATACTTTATGCGATATTTAAATGCAGATTTATGTGTCGCCGTTGAGTAATGTTAGCAACAGGTTTTAGCTGAATTATTGCTATCTATAGTTCGCCGATACTTCAGACCATCAACTAGGAAATTGAAAATTAATTAATGCCGCATAATAAACTTGCTAATTAAGCAGCATAATAAACCGGTATTCACCGAACAGACGCTCAATATCGGATTTAGCGGATTCTCTCCAGATATTTCTGTATCCAAATATAAGCGGCGCGTATCTCACAATACATCTATCAATTTTATTAAACACTTTGCGCTGGTGCCAGGATTCATTAGATGTTGTGTATAAATAGAAACCTGTTGTCACAGTTGTTGTTAAAACCTATTAAAAAGCGCTTTTATTGGTGCAAGGACATGGATACTCACGTGAAGTGTTTGCTAGATCCACCTACTCATTTACGGAAGGTTTATCTTGCTGCTGTTCATCCTAAATATTAAATGGCAATGGCTCCCCTTTTCTCTCTAATTTATTAAAATAAGAGCAAGTTAAACACTTTCCATGTTCTACAAATTCCCGCATAATAAATTCAAATTTACGCAACTGGCAAAATTATGGTATGCGTTTAATTGCCCAACTTTCCAACCAGGATTAACCAACTTCACAAGACAATTTCTATAAATTCTCTTAGGTTAGACTAGGTTTAATCTTGCTATTAGTTAGTAGCAGCTATCTCGCCCTTTCTCCACTTAAGATTAACGCGCGAACTTTCAAATTTAATTAGAGCCTTTGGTGCGGCTTTTATTCGGTTTTTATTTATTACCCCAACTGGCGGTTTTTGCTTTCTTCTCTTATTAGCCCAACTAACAAAGGTTTACCTAATATAACTCCTTAAAATTATTATAATTCTAATGTATTAAGTGTTGCGAAAATAAGAAACACTTTTTTAATGCAATGTTTGCAAAATTCTTGTTTCTCGAAAAGTGATGGTTGAGAGATAAAACCCTGAATGGAACACTTTTTTTTATAAAAGGTTGGCTCAATAGAAACACTTTTTTGAGCCTTTTGCGAGTATTTTTTCGGGCCGGTTTTTTTCGCAAATAGTTCAACGAAAACGCGAGCATTCTTACAACACTTTATATACTGAATGTAGTGAGAAGCGCCTCTTCAACGAACACTAAATGGAACACGTTTTTTTTACTATGACGCAAGACGCACTATTTTTTAAGTTTTTTAAGAGCATTTTTTTATTCTCTTTTTTTTTATTGTTATGTATTTGTTTGTTTTCTTGAGCTGTCTTGCGAGAAAAACGTGTTTTTTTCGAAAACCGTAGGCTCAAAACGCAACCATTCTCGTAACACTTTATACATTGAATGTGGTGAAAAGAGCCACTTTAACGAACACTAAATGGAACACGTTTTCTTCAAACGATGGCTGAAGAAAAACAATGTTTTTTTAATTTTGATAGTACTTTTTTCTTCAGATTTCTTTTATTGTTCCAACTGGCGGTTTTGGTTTCTTCTCTTATTTGCCAGACTAAGAAAAAATCACTAAATTTAATTCATTAAAATTATTATTATATTCTCATCTTTCCTGGGTCTCCGACAAAGTGTGAAGTAAAAAGAATATCGTTTATTTCATTACGTTTATGCGAGACAACAGCGCCATCATCAGATTTACAATTTGCACAAACTACAAAAACCAATTCAGAATTAAAACATGTTGTATAAAAACTATCATTTATAAAACGRTAAAACATTTATCAGTTCTKGAGGGAAAAAATCCTCCCTTTTGGGAGAGCAAAACATTTGAAAAACTTACCTCATAATTGGTAAACTTCACGTTCTTTTAGGTCTTTGCCTTCTTGAAACCTTAAATTTGTCTGACTTACTTTCTACATTTTCTACATTTTCGACAAATTTAAGGTTTCCAGAAGGCCCTAGAATAACGTAATGTTTATCAATTGAGGTAAGTTTTTCAAATGTTTTGCTCTTCCAAAGGGAAGGATTTGTTCCATCAAGAACTGATGCATGTTTTATCGTTTTATAAATGATAGTTTTTATACAACATGTTTTAATTGTGAATTGGTGTTTCTAGTTTGTGCAAATTTTAAATCTGATGATGGCGCTGTTGTTTCGCCGAAACGTAATGAAATAAACGATATTCTTTTTACTTCACACTTTGACTGAAACCCAGGAAAGATAATAATATAATAACAATTACACGCAATCCGGAAAATAAATGAAAATGAAAATGATTACAATACTGATGCTTGAAGTTACGAAAATATTGGAGTTTTTCCAAAGATCCGAAAAACACTGGTTTTTACGGCAATGTTTGAAACAATAGTAGTTTCTTAAAAGGTGCGTTACGAGAATAGCAGCGTAAAAATGATATTGATTTAAACAGACAAAAAACAGCTTCTGTGATAAAAACTTTGCACCAACATTGTTCCTGAGGGTAGTGGCAAATTGACTTATTCACTCCCTGTTGAAAAATAAATTATCCCTGTTTTACCATAATATAGATCTGAAGAAAACGAACTTCACTAAAGACCTTGAACAGCGACGAAAGGAAATCAAATGTCCAATCAAATGAACAATCCATTAAATCAATTTCCATTTATATCAACAATTTTTTGCGAAAAATCAACGACAAATACGCGAATTTTCTTATAGTCATGACTTGGTCCATTCAGTGCCCCTCATGCCAACTACCTCAAATGTTTTAGAGGAAAATTGTAAAAAGCCTTCTTGTACTACCTACTCTAAAATTTCAATCATTATTAGCCCAAACTTTTGATATAAAAACACCTACAAGCTCTTTATACGGTTGCCCGTCATCTATTGCAAACTATAAATTCAATAAAAATTCTAAACCACTTTTAGCGTGGTTCGTTCCGAAGCGGATGGTTCCTGAAAAAAACACTGTTTTTCTTGGGCTATCGTTTAAAGAAACAGCTCAAGACAAACAGTGTTTTTTCGCAAACCGTTGACGAAAAATATCACCATTCTAGAAACGCTTTATACACGAAACACAAGTTTTTGGTACATTGGCTCAAGAAAAACAGAATTTTTTTGGCTAACCGTTGATCAAAACCGGCCAGTTTTCTCGTAACACTTTATACACAGGTTTAAGTGAAAAGATCCACTCAATAAACTGTATGGAAAACGGTGTAGCTACTGTGATTTTTTCAGTGAACCGTGAAAAATGCTGAACAAGTTATGTAGAAAAGAATGTTTGTTTCACAAGATTAACCTTTGAGAAGCCGGTTGATCGCAACACCATCCGATTGCATCACACAGATGGTATTAAAAAAATTTGAATATTGTGTGAAATCTTCCTGCTATTATCATCGGGGCAAATAATCGAAAAAAGCCTGCGAAGCAACAAAGGCAGTAACACGGACGATATAATATCGTAAAGTCAGCTATTTTCGAAAACCTTCCTTCCGGCTCTCTCCTTTCTTTCCCGGCCGCAGTTTAATTTCGGCAGAGGGTTGAATTTGGCTTGCCAGTTGGCATAAACGTCTCTCCTCTCCAATTTGGGGAGTTTTCCGCGAAAATGTCGTTTTCCCCCCGCACGAGGAGCTTAGGATAGTGGAAGCCAGATTTGACGATGGATCTTGAGTTTAAATCTATCCGACTGATCCATGCTGAAAACCTTTGAGTTTCGCTAGGGTAAAAACCGCATTTTTTACCTAAGCAAGAGAACAGTGAACATTCACAGATCATTCACATCAAGAACTTTCCAGCCACAATTCCATTCGGTTTGACCGCAAAGTGGTCAAATGCTGCGATAAAACTCCGCGATTTCCGACTGTTTATTGTCCTAAAAATAAAATCCAAAATATCCACACAGGAATCGAGGAGAAAAAAGCATGTCACATTTTCGCGAGGTGCCAAAGTCACATTGGATATTTATAAGAACTTGGCAACCGGATCGATTCTTTTTATAAAACGATATTTATATCGCTGTGTCTTCTAGTTTCGATGTTTTTTTTCGATATTTTGCTCATATTTTGCGAAACGCTTGTAAACAAGATGCTTTATTTACGATTTCTGTCGTATTTTTGAGCAATCAGGGCACTTAAGCTGATGGATTTACTCTGAGTGGATTATTATTTGACAAAGTTTTTAATGTTGGTCTCTGGGAACATTGACTAATCAAGCCAAAAATGTTCATAGTTTTCCGAACCAAAATGTTTATCCAATACAGGTACTTACCATCAAGCTCCAGCTGCAATCACCGCGAGCACCTGAAAAAAAATTTCAAACTTTAATAGCATCTTCGCTTTGCCAGCAGGAACTTATTAAAAGATGAATGTAAAGCCTGCTTTATTAATACGGTCGCTGTATAGAAGAGTATTGGAAAGTAGGATACGCAATCGCTATTTCCCACTGATTATATTGACACGAGAGCTGAGGAATAGAGAATTAGAAAAGCCTGAAGAGAGAAAATGTCAAGTGGGCATCCATTTTCAACCGGGCTGAAATGAGTAATGAACTGAAAATACGTTTTTCAACGACTCTCGCTTCAAAACATTTGATTAATGGCCAAATAAGATAAGAAGTAGTTCGCGCAAAAAATGCCCAGATTTGCTGAAAAAGACGCGTTACGACTAAACGAACTAATCCAAAACTCCCCAATTCTGTGGAAAATCTTTCATTTTGAACAATTAGTGACTGTGAAAACAGATGTGTTTTCAAGACGATCAACCCCTGAAGATGCAAGCCATGCGTGCCAGCGAAACATCACGACCAAATTCCTATCCCAAATCACTAATTTGTCAAACGATAGCCTTAACCACCATTTCTTCATTCCGTCATTGAGCAAAAAAGTGTCCAAACCCTTGTAGAATTTTTTACAAAATGATCCATAAAAAGCGGTGTTCTTGAGATAAATCTCATTAATTCCATCGCCAAACATCTCGAAGTTTTAACAAATTTCTCTGCGAGTTAGCATGAAAAAACGCAATCTCTTAAATTGCAAAGTGTCGTGGAAGTTGTATGAATCCCCATAGCAAAACCGGGAGAAGAAATGGTTGATAATAAGTTTACTTACTGAAGTTGCGAAATAACTACCTGCAATCTTGAAAGTTGTATTTATATGGAAAGGCATTGGGAATGAGAATAAATAAATAAAAATGCAGAAAAGCCAAGCATTAAGCATCCTTTCTACATCCGTTTTCAGTTGGTTATTGACTTTGAGTTGCTGTTAAACAAACATATGTCTCGAACGAAATAAATTGTTCTTCAGGGCGATTTAAAAAAGTAGCAATTACACTATTAATTGGATTTAAAAAACATCCGCTTCGACTGAATTATTCAACAATGAAGTAAATGGAATAGTTTGCATTAAATTGACCTTTAAATTTGATGTTATCTCTACCCTTATTGTGCCAAGGGCCAATTAATCCAGGAAAGTTATTGAATCGAATGTATTGTTTTCATTCCATGCGAAGGTTTTGGTTGGCAATGCAATTCCCGTGCAGTTTATTGAAAATATCATCTGTTTTTTTATTCCTTTGCATCAATTAACTAGTAGACACATTTAATTTAGGGGTTTTTTCTCCATATTCTCAATGCATAAAATCAGTTGAAAAATTTCTAATAATAAATAAAAAACCAATGAATCCTGTGATGCATTTTGCGATGCACCGGGAATATTTTTTTATTACAACGTAACAATGTAAATCATAATACGGATTTGGCAATGTGTGCAAAACGACATCCAATTATTGAGTGAGCTTCAAAGCGCTATTTTGTCTGTGATTAATTTAAATGTATTATATTCGAAATTTTCCAGTTCCTCTTGCCAAAAATACGCTCAACATTAAATTGAAATTTATTAAAAGTTGTGCCACATCATAAAGCTTTGAAACATAACTTTAATTTCAACTTTACATTGGGGTTTGAAGCATTATTATTGCGCCGGTAACTATGAATATTATAAATGGCGAATTTGCATTTATAGTTGGATTTTTGTGCGTTAAATTCGCTACAGAATATTCTACATTTGCAATTGAGAGTTCAAGAGTTGGAACTAGTCGAATGATGACTTTCCTTCTCCAATAGTTGAAGAAAAAAGCAATAAATCTAGATAAATTTAACAAAAATGGCAGTGAATTGGCATCAATGTCCGCTCCAACGATGTAATAGCTCTTTTTAATAACTAACATCAATATATTCGCTATCACAACTTGAACGTAATTGCAGTACAAATTGGATAAAATTGTAATTAATTAGCCAATATAAAACCGCGCATTACCGGATTCAACTAATTGCTTTTTTCACGTCGATTGCGATAGAAGCGAAAATCACAAAACCTTGTACTTTATACCACTTCCATTAAAAAAAAATCAATGGCAATGTAATCGTCTATTATTTAAATCTACAGCTCAATAATGACCTGCAGCAACCGTACAAGTTTATGTGTAAAATCGAAAATTTGCGTATACTAACCACTGTAATTAAAGCAACCACCTTATAACCGTGCTGTACAAAATTTGTGTTTTTAAACCTTTGTGCACTAAACTGTGTTTTGTCGAGTATTAAATTATTATAAAAAAAATAGCCGGCCGACCGATTGTGCAGGATCTGACAAACTTTCAGTTGAAGCTGATCAGAACTATCAAGTTGGGCCATTTTGAAAAATTCGTCACGTCCAATCTCGAGCAACTAGACACGTGAAATTATTTTTGTCCAATTCTGTTAAGGATCAGTGGCTAGAAACGGACAAAATTTAAATCTAAACCGCCTGCAGGCTGATTTTCCGGCAAAACGCAAACTTGCAGTTGAGCCTGGCAAAAAAGTTCAAGCTGAGCCATTTTGAAAAATTTCTCACGTCCAATCTAGAGCAACAAAACGCGTGAAATTTTGTCCAATTCTATTAAGGATCAGTGGCTAGAAAAGGGCCAAATTTTAATCTAACCGCCTGCAAGCTGATTTTGCGGCAAAAAAACAAACTTTCTGTGGAGCCTGACAAAAAAGTTCAAGCTGA